ATTTGACCTCCATCTCACCTGATGGAAAGTGACGAAGAGGTCGAAGACGTGCCTATTCACTCTCGCCTTGGAAAGGTCCAAGTTATAGCGTTCGGGGGAATAAGTCTGCAGGCAGGGAATTCCACTCCATAGCCGTTCGCCATATAATTGTGGAAGCGTAACGCTTCGTGTGAATCCGGGGAATATCCACAACATAAGGGTGGAACCCCAGCCCACGTCTAGTCCCCCGATGATGGAAAGGGGAAGGCGGAATCCAATTATGCAATTCCATCGCACGCTCTCCGTGATATATCCTGTAGAGACCTTATCGATAAGCTATAAGCCGAGATGTTTCAGGGTGACGGGCGCAGTGGCAGTGCCCCTCAGGTCTTTGTGATGTAAAGCTCTGAGTGGCACTGCAACTGTCATGGACAGGCGTGTCACTGACCACCAGGCCCATGATTATTCATCTCGTCACTTGATATCATAAAAAAAACCTGTAAGATCTAGTCAGAGTAATGTGAATGAATTTATGAATTTTCGTTTTAATTTTTTTATCCCGATTATTCCATCATATTTAGAAGGGATATTTACATAATTATTAAGGTTTCATATTCCTTATTACGTCATAAAAAACTGGAGACAAATCTTGGAGTCTGTCATTTGCCGCTCGGGAGTTTTATTCCAAACGTTTTAAATCATTAGATCCATTGGTTTTTGGAATAAAAAACATATTATTATGTCCAAAAAGTAGCCTCTATAACACTGAATAATATTTTTTCTTGAATGAAATTCCATTCTTTTGCCGTCACCATTGACTTACAATTATATGGACGTCGGGTCCGCGCTAAAAAGTGTCCGCACTTGTAAGGCGCTAAAATCGTATACAGAGCGCGACACTCCGCTTTAGTCTTCATTTGTTCGACTGACAGCGCGATACTGCGATGACATAACAATTTAAATTTCGAATAGGTTGACTTGGGACATTTTTTTCGTGGTTTTTGTATTAGACCCGTCGTCCATTTATTTGTAAGTCAATGGCCGTCACGCATTAAATAGGAAAAGTATTGTAACAAATTAAATTAGTAATAGACCACAGAATTAATGCTAATAATAATAAACAAATACGATATTACCCATGTACAGTCAAAGACGTCATTACAATTAGCAAAAAGTTATTACACAGCTTCTGCGTACTTGGATGACAAGAATCCGTAGTAGTGATCCGTTTAGTCAATCTAAGATGTTTGGAATAAATATTAAATGTATTTCAAATGTATATGACTGAAATATTTTTTATTCCCCATAAAATTACAGTTAAAATACAATACAGTAACTTAGCATAAAGATAGCAAGATAATGTGCTACAGGCGGCCTTTTTGCTATATAGCAATCTTAGGATAGAAATTTTGGATATGCAACAGGGGTGCAACCAAAGAATATCATTATAAGCGCACTACATAATATAATTATTACTTAGTGTACTTATAATTATATTCTTTTTCAATGATAAACGTTTTTTATTACATTATCAGATATAAATATCCATACAAATATTATTAATACATAACAATACATAAATATTAATATTAAATGCTTATATACTTTGAAAGGTAAAAGATAAATTAAATAATAAGTATAGGAAATAAATGAAAGGATAGTGGAGAAAAAGCCAAAACTTAGGAGTTGAGGAACTGATCTTTGACACGTTGTATGAAGGAATCAAGAGAAGGAGTACCTTGAATCGATACAGGGAGAGAATTCCACAGTCTGATCGCAGAAGCGGTAAAAGAGTTGGATTAAAAATTAGAGGTATGTTTAGTAAGAGAGTATCAGAGGAGTGAAGGGGACGGCAGAGTGTAGAAGAGTGGAAAGTAAAGCGATCTTTGAGATAAGAAGGCGTAAAGGGACAGAATAGAATTGAGTAAAGAAGGGAAAGAATATGAAGATCTCTACACTGGTGGACGGGCAGCCATTTAAGTTTTGTATATTTACAACGAGCGACCCGAGCTCATTCTTCTCAGGGGAATCTGCTTTACGAACGAGCAGTAGAGTTTCATTAATATGACGATTTGAAGTGTAATTTGCTTACCTTTGATATAAACATGATTTGAATTTGAATATAAATTGGTGTTGTCTTTGAAATAGGGTTGTCTGGCACATTATTATTTTGTTTTTGTTTTCTATTAACTGCGACTTATCCTTCTGTTTTACAGACCCGGCAAAAATAGAGCAAAAAGAGAAAAAGAAAGAACCGGAAATGGAGAAAGAGAAGCCAGATGAGAAGAAAGACAGGGAAGTGAAGTACCACGTGAGCGCCGAGGACGATGCCGTGTTAAAAGAGCTGTTGTTTGTCGATGAACAATATGCACCACTGTTAGCTTTGGTATGTACGAAATTGGATTTAATGCATTTGTATTTAAGAATCTATACTACCTCAATTGGCTTTTTTTTTAATTCCATAACAATGGAAATGTACAATCAATAACTTTGGAAAAAATATATAGTATAAAAAATATATAACACAAACTCATCGAGTATATAACCAGAAATAGAGACGAAATAAGGGCCATACATTCCTGGTAACTCCTCAGTGATACATAACTTATGAATATCAACTCTCGTTTGCACTGAAATTAGAAAGCTGAAATAGTACAGCGTCAACAAATGACCTGTGTGTACGTCTCCGTATATTCCAAAAACTATTCTGTATTTATTGTAATAAAGATAATAAATCTCTAACAATGCCGTGCAATGCTGTTTTTCAGCAAACAGCAAAACATCTAATTTCAAAATAAATGGAATCAAATTTCATCGGTAATTAAGTATTAACTGCCTCCGTGGCCGAACGGTTACCATGCCGGACTGCCACGCAGAGGTCCCAGGTTCGATTCCCGGGTCGGGAGAAATGTTTGTATGGCCTACATTTATTTCTCTCGTGAGTTTGGGTGTAATTTGTGGTTGTCTATATGTGTGTCCATGGCACCCGCGACACAGGGTTTCCCTAGTGCGGGGCTATGTTGAGTGTGTGCGTTATTTATTTTATTTATTAAACATGTAATTTTGCAATTTTCGTCCATTAGAGCCATCGAGTGTTACAGCCAGAAATAGCGACGAAATGTCATTTAATTTGTTTGAAAACTATTCTGCCATATCATTGCTGTGACAACTGCGCTCCCATTGGCCAACCCGAATTCGAAACAATTGACGGGTGTCGTCAATTGTTTCACTTCAAATCGACCAGTTAACTTGAGCTTTGCTATAATGGGCAAAAATTGCAAAATGACACATTTAATATTTGATTACCGATGAAATTTGATTCCATTTGTTTTGTAATTACATGTTTTGCTGTTTTTCCTCACACCACCGAATGGAACAGCACACTATTGTTAGAGTGATTCTCTTTATTACAATATTTTTTAAATATACGAAGACGTACACAGGTCAGTTGTTGGCGCTGTCTATATTTCAGTGCAAACGATAGTTGATATTTATAAGTGATGTATCACTGATGACTTACCAGATATATAAGACCCTTATTTCGTCTCTATTTCTGGTTATATGCTGGTCGAATGGTCGAATATTACTTATTTGACAGTAATTGTTTCTGTCGGATGGAGATCGTAAGTTGATGCCCTGATACGAACCGATCGTAGTGCGCGAACGTACTTACCCTTCAAGTAATCATCACATTAAATTGCTTGGCGGTAGAAATAGAATGAATGGATGACCTTCTTGTGAAGTTCGTCCAGGGTAGTCTGCCACCTTACCTGTTTCTGCCGCCCAGCAGTAATGCCAGCATTACTGTGTTCCGGTCTTGAAGGGTAAGGGTAAGGGTGCTGGTGAAACAGGCACATGAGTCTTGTCAACTTACGTCTCCGGGTGACGGGCACAGTGGCAGTGCCCCTCAGATCTTTGCGATTTAAAGCTCTAAGTGTCACTGCAACTATTGTGGACAGGCGTGTCGCTTACCACCAGGGCAATGACTTGTTCGTTCAGTCACGTGGTATCATACAAAAAAACCTGTAAGACCTATTCAGAGTAATAAATTATTTTTTTATATCGAATATTCCATATTTGGAAGGGATATTTACATCATTATTATGGTTTCATATTCCTCATTACGTCATAAAAAACTGTATCCAAATCTTGGAGTCTGCCATTTATCGCTCGGGAGTTTTGTTCGAAACGTTTTAAATCAAAAGTAGCCTTTATAACACTGAATAATATTTTTTCTTGAATTAAGTTGTATAATCCATTCTTTTGCCGTTACGCATTAAAGAGGAAAAATATTGTAACAAATTAAATTAGTAATAGACCACAGAATTAATGCTAAAATACATAATTATAATTAAATGCGATATTACCCATTTACAGTGAGTTCAAAAGAAAACTACTAATAATTTGATTGTAAACCTAAATACTAAACATTATATTCTATCTTTTACAGCTAGAACAGTTCTCTCCCGGCGAAGATGGCATACAGTTCAACAGAAAATTAAGAAACTTCGAAAGCAACGTCAGTACTATGTGCCCAGATGAAACTCGGCTGCAGTAAGTGTTAACAATATTTTATAGAGAAATTGAAAATGTTCCTTACACGAAATTAAGAACAAATATCAGACAACATCACTGCCGTCTATTGTCATAAGTAACGCTTTTGCATTTTGGTAACTTTCGACGCAAACTTGAGATGCCCAGGTGCTGAAATACGGCAGTGTGTAGTACGTTAAATATTGGGCATTTTCAGTGTTCTGCCGTCTTCTAACTAGAATGTGGCTAATGGACAAAATATTTTATTGAGATATCATAAAAAACCATAACCCAGTTTTAGAATATTGACATCGTTTAATGACATTTCAGCTTTGCGTCGTTAGGGTAAGTTCCGATAAGTCGCACACATTAACTAATTTTAATTGTTTTTAAAAGAGAATTTTGTGCTCTATTTTTTGCTATTTAAAACGGTAATTTGACCATTTGTCACCTAGCCGCGTTTTGGTTGGTGGACGGCAGTGTTGAAAATATTATGAAATAAATGTGAGAATGCGAAATCGAACAAAATCTTATAAGGAAAATACTTTTTAACCATATTCTCTCTCAACAGCCAATCCTCGTTCAGTTAAAATTATAATATGCTATCTCTTTCATACATCGCGCTTACATCATTCGTTATCCCTTTCAGTCGTCCTTAACGTTTCATTCCCACATAAATTACCACTTGAAATCGTGAAAAATAGTACAACACATTCGTAAGGCCTGAGATAGCCTGAAAAGAAAGATATTTGTAGCTGGTAGCTGTAAAGGTATGTAACTGGGTGACGAAATATCATAGATTTCGCATAGAACGCGCTACGGCTAAAAAGTCGTTGAAAAACCAAATACAAAGACGCGACGCAAGCACATAGAAAAATCCGTGAGGTACGCTGGTTCGTTCCGTGGCTTAGTTGGTATAGCGTCTGGCACGGTGTGCTAGAAGACGTCGGTTCGAATCCGGCCGGATCGAAGGAATTTTTTCTGAGTGTGAGTGTTGTTATAACAAACTAGTGGAGTAATTTCACATAAAAATAATTGATAATATAGTAAACTGTGTTATAAACTATTTTCTGACCTCTAGGGCAGCCTTTGCAACATTTCGTGCGGCAGCCCTGGTGAGTTCCGTAACGGCTCGCAAGCTGGCGGCCGTCGGTTCCTCGTTCACGCGACAGCAGAGGCAGCAGCTATTACGAGGAGCCTTGCTTAACATCGTCATGCAGGGAACCTTTGCAAGTAAGTGTCAGGGGACTAGTAACAGATCTAAAGGACTGATAATATCCATGGAACTCATAATTAGTCCAGAAAATAATAATACATCCAGGGGACTGCTAATAGAATGAATGAAAGCTATATATTTGCTTAAAATATGGTTTACAAAAGGTGGTATATTTGTATACATAGTAATATAGTACTCATAATTTACCGATATCGGCATTGCAAATCTATGTCATGTCAACATTTTGCCAGCTAAATAATTCTAAAGCAATTCCCATAGAGTATTAAGATACCATGATTATTAGAATAGTAAGTTATTGCCATGTCATGGAGATGTCAAAAAATATAAAACAAATATATATTTCTCAAACATGCTCGGAAATGTTTGCATTACTTTCAAAAAACGAACACGGAAAGTTTGTCATTTATGGACTATGCGACTTCCCGGCCTAGGCCTGCAAAGTAAGTAAGAAAATCCATTACTGTCCTCTTCTCTAAACTTATAATTGTACCTAATAATAATGAACTGCGTAAGAAGGCAAAAGAAAAACTCACACAGGTTTGTAATTGCGAGAATTAAAAGTACCTAGCTGTACTGCTTATTATTTTATTTTATTCAAAAAAAGTCGGTAAAATAAACTAAAATGCTTTGGTATTCTTTTCTGTCTTTTTGGCCTTTTTTCTACGTTCGTCGCGAAAATAAGTTCTAGAGGAGCGATAGTGAAAAGAAATATTTCGACCCCTCCTACGTAAAGTATCGTATGTCGAAATTGCCAAGTTTACAGGGAAGTGTTTTAAAGTTTTGAATCCACTGAAAGGAGAATAACAGGTGACTTTAGCATTTTTCAGTTTTATTCGGCAAACGGTTACTCACACAGAGTATTGTAAAATCCTACATATCGGTTAGATGATCTATTAGATTAGCTTTGTCGTGTTATGCTCATTTCAGTGAATTCAGAACTTTAAAATGCTTCCCTGTAAACTTGGCAATTTCGACATACGATACTTTACGTAGGAGGTGTCGATTTATGGATACACAATGGACGTCATCAGAATTAGAGCAGACTACTTTTAAATGTGCCTGGAAAAACGATGTCAAATACTACTTTTAATTAACATTTTTTTTTAACTTTTTTATTATACAATTGCTTCTCTTTAATCTTCTATTATTTCCTCGCATTGTTTGAGAAAGTAACTATATAAGCCTCGGCGGGAATGAGGATGGCTTGACTCATTAATATAAAGCTCGGCCTTGTAACTCACGCTCGTGTATATATATATATATATATATATGTATAGTGTATATATACATATAGTAGAATGTATAGTGTGTGTATGTATATATATATATATATATATATACTATACGTTAAGTGGTCAAATTTATTGTGATTTGTATGTAAAGTAGTCATTAATTGAATAGAATTTTTTATGTCTCGTGTCTTTATAAAAAGTTTATTATTATTCTTTACAAAATTGGATACTTCAAAGACGTACATACGAGGCAGCGGTAAGATATATATAGAGAGGTCCAAAATATTGATAATAAATTAAAGGGACCGATGATAATAGGTCCCGAAAAGCGGTATTAGATAATAAGTCCAGAAAAACTGATCATATTCTAAGGACTGATAGTAAGTGTACAAAACTGACAAAACAGGGGATTGATAGTAGGTCCAGAAAACTGACAATAGATTCAAAGGACTGATCATGTCCCAGAGGACTGAGGTCCAGGATGATAACATCTTCTACGACAGCATTAGCAAACTAATTTGTAAAGCAAACGTATCAAATATGTATGTAGTATAAGTTTATGATCATGTAAGCGTTTTTTTGTTACTGTAAGTATACATTGTTTATAAATAAGTAAATTATCCAAGGGACTGATAACATCCAGAGGAATGATAATTTCTAGGGGAATGGTAATAGATACGCGAGCTGATAATATGTATAATGTTTTCCATAGGTTCACCGTGTAACACTTGGGCATATAATAAAGTATTTATAATAATAATGTAATTTAATTTAATTTATTGTAATTGTTCGCCTTATTTCTACTAACTTAGAATTGTTACTAAGAAATTTGGACTAATTGGTCTGAGAATAAATGAATTTGAATATCCAAGGGACTGATAATATATACAGGGGTCTGAGTAAAAATAGGAGCTAGGGATTCGCTATATTTTAAGCCAAGACTGGAACTTTAAACATCCTTTCCAGTTTAGCGGGAGATAAAGGCCTTTGTAAACAACACGGTTTTTTTGTTGTTTTTAACATAACATAATGAAAATTTTATTAATAATATTTAATGTACTTTCCAGAGCTGGAGGTGCTGGAACGAGCCAACCCGTCTTTCCTGATAAACGCCGCTAACCTCATGGGCGACTATTTCGCTGGTAACGCTTTTTATAACTTGCTTTATTTGTTAAGTATTTTTAAATGACCAGCTTGGGTTGAACCCTTTCAAACTGTATTACGTTCCAACAGCACCTTCAACAATAAATTGACGTATAATTTGAAGAGTAAAATTTTTGGATAACGAATTTCTAGATTCAGAACTAATTTCTAGTACAGAACTTTTTTCCTTTTTTTTATAATGTCGGGGACGAACAGTAAGCGACACGCCTGTCCGTAACAGTTGCAGTGCCATTCAGAGCTATGGATAAAATTTTGTACAGACGAAGGATAGCGACTCCAAAGACTGTAAATAGGTAGTCGTATTGTAACTTCGTTTTGTTCACAACACAACAATTATGAATTTTGCAAATAGCAAGTCTTTGTTTTTTTTTTTTCATTCTTCCATGGATTATACAACTCGAACTAAAATGTTGTAAAACGCAAACACGCATAATGCATGAATTGCAAAAAAATTACAAAATTTTTGTGCAGAAGCTATTAAAATCAATTATAAGAAATTAACAATAATGAGTTTTTAAGTACTATGTGGATGAATTGCAATTAAATTACCGTTAAGATAACATTTTAAGCGAATGTTTTAATTTTGAACTTAAGAAACCTCCTTGCTTGAACTTGAACCTGACCTGTTTAAGGAAGTGTGTCGTGCTCATTTACTTACAATTATATGGACGTCGGGTCCGCGCTAAAAAGTGTCCGAACTTATAGGGCGTTAAAATCGTATACAGAGCGTCATTCACGCTCTAGTCTTCGTTTGTTCGACTGACAGCGAAGCAAGCAAAATTAGACAGTACTGCGATGACATTACAATTTAAATTCAATGTTTTAGCTTTTTCATATTCCTTGACATGTCAAATTTAAATAGGTTGACTTGGGACATTTTTTTCGTGGTTTTTGCATTAGACCCGTCGTCCATTTATTTGTAAGTCAATAGTCGTGCTACAAATTTAAAAAAAATCCAACTTCAAAAATCATTCAATAGTTTGCCACCCTTGGAAATGGAATATTTTCTTGAATTTTCAATGGGACCACTCCTTCCTTATCTTTACCTTCATTTCATCAAAAAAATAATCATTAAAATCGGTTGACAAATGGAGTTATCGCGTAACATACATACAAAAAAAAACAACTTGAGAACCTCCTTTTTTTTTAACGTCGGTTAAAAAGGCCCGCGGGTTTTATTTGGGGCATTATAGTCAAGTTAGCCACCATGCAAACATACGGACCCCTCCTACGTAAAGTATCGTATGTCGAAATTGCCAAGTTTACAGGGAAGCGTTTTAAAGTTCTCCGTTTTATTCGGCAAAGCTCGTTACTCAAATAGAGTGATCATCTAACACATCCTGTAACCGATATCTAGGATTTTATAATACTCTATGTGAGTAGCGAGCTTTATCGAATAAAACTGAGAAATGCTAAAGTCACGTGTCGTGCTTATTTCAGTGAATTCAGAATATTTAAAAGGCTCCTCTGTAAACTTGGCAATTTCGACATACGATACTTTACGTCGGAGGGGTCGATACTATTTACGAGCAGGCGTGATAAAACAATTATTTACGTATTACTTTTTCAGAGGCTCGTCTCTGCAACGGGAACAAAGTCCACATTCTGGCGAGTCCGTTGCTTCAATACATGCGTGCGTTGTTGACAAGTGATGATATAAGAGCCCATCGCAGCCTTGCTACACAGGTAAGATTCCCTCGTCTCTGTCAAATCCAATTATTGGAACTAAATCATACTAAACTCAAACTAGAATGATCTTTGTAACACTTCATTTGTTGCCTTATTTTCTCAAACTCGTATCTTAAAGCACAAAATTACTGGAATGCAAAAAAATGGATTGTGTATACAAATTTTGGAGCAGGAGAATGTTGATCGTGGAGAGACAAAGTCGCGAACCAAAGGATGCTGCAACGTGTTGATCGAAAACGAGAAGTGTTGAATAACATCAAAAGAAGGAAACTGGAGTATCTAGGTCATATACTGAGAAACCCAAATAACGACCTATTACAATTGAAAGGGTTGTAACCCTAACGAGCCGTGACCAAGTTCACGGCAATAAAATAAGAAAACTGCAGCGTTTTGACGCATTAGGCCAGAAACGCAAAATGCCAAACGGCCAGAATGTCAGATTCGCGGAATGCCAAATGTCACTCTCAGGAATAGGCCTTCTTCCTGACGCAGGACAATGGTCTCTGAGTAGGCAGGTTTATGTTAGTAATACCTAATTGAAGCTGTAAGTTAGCAAGTTTCTTTATGACAGAAAGATCAGTTATTTAGTAGTTAGTGGAAACTACATTTTGTTTTTAACAAATTAATAAAACATCAGAATAATTCATTATAATCATTATTTCAGCCGAATGACGTCCACTGTGACGGTGTGACCTCCTTACACCGTCATCTCAGCTCTTTATATCGCCTCTCTCCTCTTGTATCTTATCATTTTTTTCATTTAATTGTATTTTAATTTTAAATTTGAATTGTTCCATCTTCCTTCACTTTCTCATTTTGTTTTCGTACCACGGTCACTCCCAGCTCGACCGCCACAACAGTCAGAGCTGTTAATAAGCTAATCCTGTGTAATAATTTATAAGTCTACACCCTTCATGTATCTATTTCTGTAATTCAGTTTCTCGGCCCATTTAGGAGTAAGTGCCTTAATAATAAAGTGTAGAGAGTGTTTTCTACTGTTATACCTGTTTTTTTACATTTACCTTTATATTGTTACAGCCTTTCTTTAAAGTTTACTTCTTTAATAAATTTTGTGGACCGGAAGTTTCCTATTTCATTGCCATGAACCTGTTCACGGCTACTTAGGATTACAACCCTTTCACCACTTTACTTGACGACCACTGGACATTAGTTCGTGCGTCAGCAGGAGGATGAATGCCCGTTCTTGTCAGTGACATTTGGCATTTTGAGAATCTGACATTCATTCATTGATGTATAGATGTGCGAAGATTTTTGTATTAAATTAAAGGCATAGAAAATGCAACACATAATAAATAAATAAATAATTCAAATGCAATTTCAGTAGATATTTTAAACAATTTCGAAAAACATTCTATCATTAATTTATAGGTTTTAAGAAAGTAATGCTAATGATACTGACATTAATTCATTGCTTATGATCGAAATTCATACTTTAAGAATGAATACCGGAACTATACAGGGTATATATTTGAGACGGGGCAGCAAGGCCAGCTACCTTAAACCATTTAAACCATTTATTTGCCACACACAGTTATACGTACAGAACATAATAATATAACAATATTGTGGGAACAACAACAGTGCGTGGAAGGAACAGGCTCAGTATAATCCTTGTGGCTGTATGCCTCACGGTACTGATTTGCAACCTGACCTTGTTGACACATCGTTTTTCAACATAATCCGAATTCAACGATACCATCTACACGATAAACATCGAATACTAATAATTATATCGGTTGAATTCATTAATAACATTTAGTAGATTAATTTAAAAAAAATGGTGTGACTATGACTATGTACGACTAAATTACATGTAATGAACAATAATAATATTATTAAAAATATATATATAAACCAGACAATATTCTCAGTTACACTTACGCTGGCTCTGTCTCTAAACTAATAAGAAGAAGGAAAAAAAACAGTTAACTTCACATAAATTAAAATAACATACCCTTAATCGTTGTAGTTACAGGAAAACGGTTCTACGGTAAACGGTTTTTTGCGATTTCTGACATTTCGAGTACTCTTACCTCAGTTGGTCCCATAGAGACTTGATCCTCACCAGAGACCGTATCGAATGGCATAAAAAAAAGTTTTGTAAAAATTGCCTTTTATCTTGCTGACTGTACCAATTACCATCAAAATATCGTCAAAATTCATGGATAGTCTTCTAGAGTCATACATACATTTATTCATTGAATTATCGAATTTTTTTTACCGATTGTATTAATAATTATAACGAACTTTTTCTCGTGAATTTGCGTGTGATTTGTCATACAGAGTTTCCCTAGTGTTAGTGGAATGATTTCACAAATAAAAAAATGGTAGTAAACTATCACGAATCATAATATTCAAGAAAATCAATGTTAATAATGTTTCTCCGTACCATCAGTTTGGGATCCAGTATTTCCTCTGATAAAAAATCCCAAACAGACATAAGACTTACAGTACTGATTAATATGTTTTAATTTGTTCTAATTTCCGTTATTAATTAATAATAAATTTGACTTAATAGAAATTCATATTCATATAATCCCAGTACAGAGCACTAAAAAAACAGACCTCAAAAGTACGTGGAATTTCGTCTATTTGCTAAGTTTTATTGAAATATCCTCTAGTTCGCCACTGTACAGGACTTGACACTGGAGATAATAAAAATCGGTTCTCACTACTCAAAGTATATCGAGAGAAAAACGCCTTGAATTGGAGAAATAGCAAATCAACCACTAAAATAATTGCTCCGAAATTAAAGTATAGGCGCTATTTATAAAAATGAATCTTCATGCGTGAACAGCCAGCCCTTAGAGGTGGATGATTTTCTTCAAAATGAAATGGGATCACTATGGAAGTACTCCCTTTCCAACAAAAAAAAAGAATAGTGAAAATTAGTTACAAAAATAGCTATTTGATAATAAATACCCGACCACGCTGTCTTGTATCGCGATTGGCACTGTTCTCGAGTTATTGGGCCATGTTTTGGGTTAGTTTGAATTTGATACATGGTTACACATACCAAAACATAATAATCACTACAGTAATAATAAACCCAAGTGTTTCTCCTCTTCCGCAGTTAATGCAAAACGGCCGAGAACTACTCTCGGTGCTGGCTCAGGAACTGGACGACCTTTCAATCTCAATCCGTCTCCGGCTCCTCGCACCACCACCAGTCAGCATCATCTGGCTCCTTCTCTCCGCCGACTTGTGCCTCAACAAATTCCTACCCCTACCGAACACACTGCAACAATTCTACGCCTCGCATTTGGAACTGACATCGGACGAAAACTACAGCGAAGTAAGCTACGGTTCGTGGAAGAAAGAAAAAGACGGATACAGGTCTGACAGCTCAGATCTAGCCGAAAAGGTCAGTCAGAATATGTCTCAAATTAGCCTTAATCACGAGGAGGATGCTAAACCTAAGTTAAGACCTATATTAGGTGCCGGAGCAGGTTTATTAAGACAGGAACAAGCTTTGTCGGTTAGTCAGGATAATTTTGATACATGGACGTCTAAAAGTAGTTTAACTAAACGGTATGATTTAAATTCATGGCGACAGGAAGAGAAGCTCAAGGAAGAAGAATTGCTAATGAACACACCCATACAAAATTTCTCATCTGTGCCAGAATTCCAACGGTTTAACAATTATCCACAAGAGAACTTCGTTAACTATCTCCAACAGGGTGATGGGGCGTACATTCAAAACCAGTATACAAATAACCAGAACTTCACATCTCAAGGTGATTTCGTGCCTCAATATCAGGAACGGTTTGAGAAACCGTTCACACCATTACCACAAGAAAAGGAACCGGAAACCCAGTTTCAAACAACACAGTTTCAGAATGAAAGACCGTTGCCGGAACGGGTGAACAATGAAATTCAAAAGAGTCGTAGACCTGTTGAAAATTGGAGAAAAGAAAAAGGTGATGCCAACGAAGACCCGAATAGGAATAGATCTAAAAACTGGACAAGACAACGTTCCAAAGACAACATAGAAGAGGATGAGGAAAAAAAAGACGGTGAGAAATTCAAATCCCGGTCATCAAGACCGTTGAACCGGGTCAACCGAAGAAACAGTGCGGACACTGACTCGGGCACCAATGGGGGCAACTCCAAGACGCCTCCACGCAGACATGTAACAGAAGTTCCACGTAACCATAAATACTGGGACCACGATGACCGATGTGACAAAGACTACAATAGTTAGTAGACTTAGTTTTCTTTCCTCCTTATAGTGCTAATTAGTAACTGTTTGTTTAAGAGATGCTGGTGTTTTAAGATTTTCTTAATAAAGATTGTTTATTACAGCGTTCTTAGATATTTTGGTCCACACAGCTTCAAAATTAACGGACCATTAAAATGTTTCCTTTATCTGAATTTACGGTAGTTGACTTACCCATTGTTTGAGTTATATAAACCAGAAACTTCAAATTTCAATGCTAAGTGAATTACGTAAGGTATAAATTTGCAACAAAAGATACATAAAACATTGTATACGTTTAAATTGTGGCCTATAATTAAAAAATGCACCAATATGGTTGATTTTCAAACCACATTGACTGTACCACAATATCAGCTTTTAATGTACAATGAGTTAGCGTGCTTAACTTGCTTTGTGTCGCACAAAACACAAGAATCCTTTTTAATTATCACCTTGGCAAAACTGCAGTTTAGTCGCTGCAGAGGTCCTTGTGAGAGTTCGTCCAAGGAACTACAGGTGAAATGACTGACACGTAGGACTTGTCAACTTACGTCTCAGGGTGACGGGCACAGTGGCAGTGCCATCTTTGCGATTTAAAGCTCTGAGTGGCACTGCAACTGTTATGGACAGGCGTGTAGCTTACCATCAGACGCACGACTTGTTCGTCCCGTCTATATTATAAAAAAAACTGCAAAAGATTCTGATACGGTAAGCCGCACTTAAAGATATGCAACGTGTCAAAATTTTAAATTGAACCTTACGTACTTAACGTGTGGCAGATTGTATTCTATAAGAATAACTAACGCTTTAAAAAAAAGAAATCTTTATAAAGTAAAAACTTAACACAGCCAGCTTAATTATGGACTTAAAATTTAGAATAAATTAGTATAATTACAATTAAAATGTTAGAAAAATATCCTTTACGAGAGGATGACTATAGCAAAATTATATGTGCAATAGAATAACACGTTTCTTACTCTTTGTAACTCCTTAAAAAAAACCGTATCGGTATAGGCGTATCGGTAAAGTGCATAATTGATCACGAAACGCGTAATATTACAGTACCTCGAAAAGTAATGTAATATTACATTACATTCCCGTAAACGTAATATTACATTGTGGTATCACCGTTACACACAACATTACACAGACTAAAAATGAGGCTTATTCACAAAGTAACTTAGTGAACTACGAATGCGTTATAAGTATTGCCAAGGCATTGCTTATCACTCTAGTGTTGCCAGGGCCCTTGAATCGAAAATTACGTTTCGTACCTAAAAAGTTCCATTTTTGCTACTAAAGGTACATTTTCGTTTTTTAATCAATGTATGCAACTGTACAAGGTTTACGTAATTTAAAAAATAAATTGTCGGGGTTCAATTTGTTTACGCCTTTTCTGAGTTAATTAATTGTCCAATTTGGATGCGTGGTTGAATTAAAAAATGCCATCGGTTTTAAAAGTTGAAAAAGCTACTTACATATTACACGAGAGAGGATATTACATTACAGTGACAGGACATTACATCACTCACATTACAGTGCTCCGTGCTTGTTTTGCTAGTAATACTACATCACTCTAAAGATAAATATTACGCAGTGTAAATGAATTATTATAATTCTTAAATAACGCAAACAGCAATATAGATTATTCACTATTAAAATAATTTATGTAACCTTCATATTTTAACTAAAATAAATAATATCGTACTCTTTATGGAATAAAAATTTTTTTTTTTTCATTCATTAATAATCGTAATTATGAAATGTAATTTAATATAAAAATGAAATTTAATATTAAATCGGTATTGTGTCGGGTGATATTATGAGTGATGTTTTATTTTCCAAAGTGATATGTCACATTACAATGTCGCGTGATATCACAATTGTAATATTACTTACATTACTTACACATTTCTACTAGCAAATCGTCGCCTTCTCAAACTCGTATCTTAAAGCACAATGTTACTGAAATGCAAAAAATGGATTGTATATACTAATTTGGCAGCCCGATTTCGCATTAGATTTCCTTCATATTCACATACTGACCTTACCTATGAAGTAACTCATCCAAATTACACTCTTTATAAGATATGAGTTTGAGACAGTAAGGCATCAAAATATTTAGATGTTAATAGTTTTTGCAGTCTATTTCGGACATTAATGGGCTTTAACCTAATTTACACCCGGCGTTAAAACAAAGCTCCGGGTTAAAACCCGCTTGCCCATCTCTGGTTACCATTTTTGAGCTGAAGGGAAATTGTTAGATTTAGGTATCGGTTACCGGGTATAAACGTTGTAAATTCTCACCTATTTTCATGTCACTTATGTTCAATTTAGCACGCGCCGAAACGCCTATAACCGTCGCATTTTCGCAGTTATGTTTAATCCCTGGAATGATGACGTCATAAGTACGCCAATGTGCGTTATATTACCACGCATAGGGTTAAATGTAATTTGTCTCATTTTTACATGGTGTTCAAAAAATGCACCTTATATTAATGAAATCATTTTACAAATTTAGAAATACTACATCCTTGGACTTAAAATATATCGACCCCTCCCACGTAAAGTGTCGTATGTCAAAATTGCCAAGTTTACAGGGGAGCCTTTTAAAGTTCTGAATTCACTGAAATAAGCATGTGACTTTAGATTTCTCACTTTTATTCGGCAAATCTCGTTACACACGTTGATTATCATAAAATCCTAGATATCGGTTAGATGATCTATTAGATGATCACTCTATGTAAGTAACAGGCTTTGCCGAATGAAACGGAGAACTTTAAAACACTCCCCTGTAAACTTGGCAATTTCGACATACGATACTTTACGTAGGAGGCGTCGTATATTTGCCTTTGACTTAAAATAAAATTGCTAAAGCTCCAGAAAACCATATTCCTAAACTCATATTGATGTATTTGACATTGATGCAATCAAATAACACAAATATTCCATAACAGGCGGATGACGTGATCCGCCTCAGAAATAGAGAAAATAAATTTTATGATTATTTAAAAAAATTCATTCGATTTCTTTGTTTTCATTTCATACTTATATGATAATGAGCCGAAACCCCCCGCCTACCAACTAAATAAAAAAAATAGTTTTAGTTTTAACGATATTAATCTACCTTAAGCTATTGCTGTACCATTCTAAAAACACCCTATAATACAAAATGGTATTCCAACAGTATCGATGGTTTAAATATCGATAGATGACCTCGAAAACTAGTAACAATGCCGATATTATCGATGTGCACCTAGTGGTAACTCACATGCCTACCCAAAATAGTTGCCGTAACACTCTTTGAGCTTTAAAATTAGACATAAAGTTGACAAGTACCCTGTGCCTTAATTTCACCAATCCTTTCCGAAACGCTATAATGCTCACACATCGAGTTATAATCAGAAATAGAGATAAACTTCATTTCATTTGTTTGAAAACTATTCTGCCATATCATTACTGTGACAACTGTGCTCCGATTGGACAGCCCGAGTTCGAAACAATTGACGGGTGTCGTCAATTGTTTCACTTCAAGTCGACCAGTTAGCTTGAGCTATAATGGACAAGAATTACATATTTAATATTTAATTACCGATAAAGAACAATGGCGAATTAATTAATACAGTGAATAGCGACATCTCTCGCCAGGACTGGTAGCTGTAAAGGTACTAACTGGGTGATAAATCTGTAATAGATTTCTCATAGATGGCGCTACGACTAAAAAGTCGTTGAAAGACCACGTACAAAGACACGACGCAAGCACATAGAAAAATTCGTGAGGTCCGTTGGTTCGTTCCGTGGCTTAGTTGGTATAGCGTCTGGCACGGTATGCAAGAAGACGTCGGTTCGAATCCGACCGGATCGAAGGAATTTTTTCTGAGTGTTCGATCTTTGTATTAATAATTATAACAAACTAGTGGAGTAATTTCACAAAAAATAATTGAATATCAATTCAATAAAAATTTTATTAACAATGGCGAAATCATAGTTCAAAGAATTCGTTAGCGCATCAAATGTCTTAATTACAAGTTTGAATAAAATAAATTAATTAGGTTTTTCAAATTATAATAGCGGCCTATCTAACGGTCGTCTTCTAGAACTCTACTCAATGCTCAAGTCAGGATTTGAGTATGGTTTAAAGCACTCGAAATCATACTCGAGTCCCTGCCATTAGGGTCGTATTTCCAGTGCTTGTGTTTCAATTGCAATCCTGACTTGAGCATTGAGTAGAGTTCTAGAATACGACCCTAAGTCTGGACATAAAATCATATTTAAAAGAAACTCTAATGACTAATTAGTATGTAACCGGATCGATATATGCAACTACCAGTTTGTTAGTTTTTTTAACGTTGAGCGACATCTAGACGCCAAAGAACGAATTTCAGTATCTACGTATGGATATGGCCCACATTTAATTCACGTAATATCAAATGTACTGATTCGACCGATTTATAATAACCTAATAAAATACTAACTACTACATTACAGAAAATAAAGTCGATAATTTCTCCAAAATGCTTCGCGAGAAAATGATAAAACTGACAAAAAGTTCCCAAAATCAGGGATAGATGGCTCGTTTCGTATAAAAATAATTTGTGTCCGAGTTACCAGTGCAATAGTCTGTGATATGTTATTAATTAACTCAGTTTTTTGTTGTGGCTTCACTTCATGCCTTTTGATCATAATAGTATACAGAGTAATTTCTTCTGACTCTCACAAACCCACGCCACCATTTATTATCTATTAACTCTGTTTAAGGTTTCTGTAATTTATTTTAATATAATAATACACCGAATATATTTTATTCAATTACGTAACTCATGACCTCTACAACTTCAAACTGGAATATCTTTAATTCCTGTCTTGTCAGAATAGTAAACCCAAAACAAATTTTTTTCAGGAATTTCAATTCTATATTTTCACATGTTTTTCATAGACAGACGCATACAAATTACGTCAACAAAAATTTATGTGGGAGTTTGCCATTGTCCTTTGATTCTGTTTGTTTTGTAATTAGATCTTTTGGTGTTTTTCCCCATGCCACTGAATGGAACAGCAAGCCCTTGTTAGAGATGTTATCTTTATTACAATAAATACAGTATATTTTTGGAATATACGGAGACCAGAGTTACCAGGAATGTATAACCCTTATGTCGTCTCTATTTCTGGTTATATACTCGATGTGCTCATATTACTGCTTGTACTTGTTACTAGTTTTCCGAAGCACAAAATATCGATACGCTATCGATATTTGCAAACAACACTAGTACAAAATGTGTTCTTAACCTTAGTCTGAAAAGATTACTAGATAGATGCCTTGTTTAAAGTGTCTTAGTGAAATAACTGAATTAAGTAACTCGCCTTTGCATTAAAAATACTGTCACACCTTTGACACGGGACTACAGTTCGCGTCTTTCGACTCATCCTAAAAACAAAGTCCGATGTGATTATAAAAGAGAATAAGTACGCTACGAGAATAATTTCGTTATTCAAACTAAGGCCTATGTAAAGGTGTTATGATAATTTATTATATATTTCGTTTCGGAAATATAAAATCGAACAACTGTCGATCTGACATCCACAGCGAAGAAGAACGAACGAAATGTACTATATAGATTTTAAGACTTTCGTGGTTATTCA